ATTTACTAAAATATTTTAAGGATTCTATTTTTCTTTTTATTAATAATATCATCAAAGTTCTTACCTTATAAAGATCTGGTTTGAATTACATGAACCACAAGTATGGCAATTGTTTATTATATAATTATTGACAAGCCACAAGCTTTATCCAGCTCATATAAGGTAATTCTTTGAACCTGAGTATGTATATGAAAAGATATATGTTTTTTGAAGAAATTAGAAAAACCTACAGTTCTGTCATAGGAAGAAATTTGAATTATAACCAAATTTATTTGACACTCTCAGGGACTTAATCAAAGGATATTAACTAGTTGTTTCTTGTCTCGTGAGTAATTTCAGTTTATGTTCACTCTATCTAAATAACCAGACTAATCATTCTCTTTCTTATGAATTAAAATTAGTATTTCAGAATAATGAGGAAACTTTTCCCTGTCCAGAGAAGGAAAATTGATAGAGAATTTAGCCCATTCAACTAACAAATATGGATGTTGCAAACTTTTAATACTGACATTTTATTCACAATAAAAATGATCTTAGTGGTAAGAAGTCTATTTGAATTTTGAAAAAAACATAATTATTTTTTCATAGAAGTTTTTCTTTCTCAGCCTTTTGGTTGAGCCTTAAGTGTGATTTTTTTTTTCAATAGAGTTCATAACAACATTTTCTAAAAGATAAGCTTTCATAAGCATCGGTATCCGAGATGTAAAATTTATCAAACAGGTGATGAGCTCTAGGAAGCAACAGAGAGAAGTTCCTCAAATAAGCAACAACCAGTAAAAACTGAAAGAGTGTTTACTTCTTTAAAATTCTGGACATTTTTCTTTAAATTCTGTCTGTCAGACAGCAAAAAAAATTGTACTACTCGGTGAAGCATTACAGGAAGAGAAGACTTTGGAAAATCAAAGTCACAAGAAAATAAATAATTTCCACCCACAGTACACCATAACACCATTTAGAACATTCTGGTTTGAAAGCAAAATCCAAAGAAATGCTTACATTCTGCTTCTATGGAAACCAAGGAAGAGAAATCAAATATTTTGGTTGGATTTGAGTGAAAATCAGCAACTCAGACATGCATCGGATGGTTCTAATTTGTTCTTTTAATATGTCTCAGATTTTCACATGAAGGCCAGATCCAGAAGTAAAGTTTTATCTGAATTCTGGTAAATTGTGCTTGTAAGCCCATGAGATGACCAGCAGTAGAAGGCTTTCACCAGAGTACGGACAGACACTATTATGGTTTTTTTTTTTTTCAAAATAGAACAAGAAGTTAGGAAGCAAAAAGTTTAAAATTAGTAAAGTAAATAAACCAGTCCTGCAAGGGAAAAAATATATTGACGATCAATCTTTCTGCAGAATCTTTTGATGGCTTTTTAAAGATGTTGGTGAAATGTTTGATCAGTATCTAATAGAGCGAAATAATTGTGGCCTGATATGCTTTTCTGATTATAAAATCATCTCTAGTAACTAAGTCATCACACCTTTCCTCCCTTAATAAACAGAAAAGAATGAAGAAGAGGAACAAGAAGCAAAAATGGAACTTAAACGCAGACTCAGCAGAAAGGTGATGAAATTATGATTGTTAATGAGCATATGTGTTTTGAGATATCTTTTGTTTTTTAAAAAAATACAAATCCTCTCTATATATGTAAATCTATGTTTAAGAACAATTATTCCTGTTTGTCTATAATCGTAGACATTAAAATCAATATAATGCATACAATATGAATTATAATTATATATTGTATTAATTGTGAAAAATTAACAATCAAGGGTTTTTGAATTGTATTTACTGATTGTGAAAATATATATTCTGTATTGAAAATTTTTAAAAATATGAAAAACAAAAAGAAAAAATCACACAAAAGTCTTCTACTTAGTGATAGCCATTGTTAACATTTCAGTGTATATATTTCCATTTTAAAAAATCATTTTAAAAAATGCTCACATATTCCATTTAGTCTTGGAAATATTAAACAAGTAAATATTTGCTACTACGGCAGATTTGTGACTATTCCATATCGGAACTGGGTGCCTGAATTATTATGTGAACTGGATCATCAGCCTGCTTGCTAGTGTTATCCAAACTGACAAATGGCTTACCTCCAAAACTTGAACGATTGTTCCCGCTTATTTATGCAAATATCAGTCTGATGCCAGGGTCATCACTTTTTTCTGTGTTAAAATAATAATAGTCTTTGGAAAAATTAAGCACCATCAGAGTTTATATTTCATTATAAACCCTTGTGATAATAATTCTTCAGATATATCTTTCACACCTGGAAAAAGGCAGAGTGACATCTCAGTGAAGTGTGTGACCTGATCCACATTTTCACGGGCTGGCTGGGGAGTCCATCTGCAGTGAAAGCATTCCAAGGCAGGTGGAGGAAACAGGCCATTTCCCCTGGAAAAGTTATAGGGACTATATTTTGAAAATTTTGGATTTGGTTTTCAAGGAAGAAGATCCTTAATTCATTTCTCTTTTTCCTCAAAGCTCCTAAATGTCAAATAACGATCAAACTGAATCAACTCAGTTTCTAGGGATGGCTCTTCTAGCATTCAGTGGCCCTTAAGTCACCGGCTGCAGACAAGAATCTCCCTTCCCCATTGCTCTGGGCTCACTTCTGTGATACATACAGCCTTTTTTTCAATCCGTCTGGTCCCTTCCATGAGGCAAAAGTGCCCGCCCTTACCCTCTGCACCCACTTGCCGCCAGCACACAGAGCTTCTGGCCATAGGAACAAGTCAGCCCAGAGCACTGATGGCTACTCTATGACTGGCACAGGCCTGAGGCAGGATTGGATGGAGAACTTCAGACCTGTGTGGCCATTGGTTACTTTCTTTCTGGCCAGTTCTCAGGGGCAAGGGTTTCTCTACCTCCTTTTCCCGACCTGCCCTGAAGAGCAATATAGATTGGACAGCAACTGAGAGTATAGCAGAACCACTTAGACCATTCCCTCCCTTGTCTACTGCTTCCCAGGGCTCTGTGATGATAGAAGGAGCCACAGTTGGCATATTCCAGCTGGTATGGGTTCAGAGTGTGGGCCTAGACCTTCTGAGAGTCCTTGAATGCTTTGAATATTAAAGCATTGACTTAGTTCAGCCTCTGGTTTTACTCAGGGGGAGAGTGAGGCCCAGGAAAGAGACTGTTTTTGACAACAGAGTGGGCGCCTGGTGTACCACCCTTGAGACCATACCAATAAGGAGTACCTCCAAAGAGGACCACTTAGATGATAGATAACGTGGTTGTATACGTGCACATAAGAGGGAAAAGATACTGAAAATGGACCCTATAGGTAAAATAGAGACCCGGCTCTACCTGCTGGAAATACTGTGACACCTCTCAAAAAGGGGGTGAACCTAAGTAGCAGAGAGTAGATGCTGCCTGTTGATCAGGGTGGGTAGGTTTCTTTCCTCTGTCAGAATTGTGTCAGTCTTGCTCTTGGGCTTGACAAAGGACCAAGAGAGGAAAACAAATACTCTATGGGCTGGCTAGATTAAATATAAATTATAAATTTGAACTTAACAAAGAGCATAAGGAAAGTTATTAAGTGTCTTAAAGGTTGCAGCTGATATTAAGCAGTTATGGTCCCATGAAATGCAGTTCTCCAGTGAGGCTCTCCTCCTCGTTCCTGCACGTCAGCTTTTCAGGCCGAGGACAAATGTCAGATTGGGGCCTTGGTCCTTATTCTCTCAGGGACGGCTGTGCTGTGGGCACAGCCTTCACCGGACCATTTCTGTGTCATAACTTTATGCATTTCTGAATATGTAGGTTTAATGTAACAGAAACAGAGATTTTTATTCTCATTTCTATAAAATTTACAGCTTTGGTCTTGATAATTCAGTTGCCAAACCAGCCATCCCATATATGGGTTACTACTGTGTCTATGTCGCTGCATGTTCCTTGTGTTGGGTATGACAGGCCTTTATCACAGTGCCAGGCAAGTTGGGGAAAATAGCATAATTCGAGTGGTTGCCAAGACTGTGACCTATCTAACGGTGATGATTTTTTATAGTCTCAAAAATTAGGGCACATTGCTTTCTAGTTCTCATTAGAAATTCCCAAGATACTGCTGCTTTTTTTTTTTTTATTGGATACCTGAAAGTGACCTTATTTAACCATAACTTTGAAGTGTTCTCCGTAGGAAACTTGCCACCATGAGGCTGTAAATGGTTTCCTGAACTGTGTCTTTTTCTCCCATCCTCCTGCAGCTCAGCCTGAGACCCACAGTGGCAGAGCTACAAGCTCGAAGGATTCTGCGGTTTAACGAGTATGTAGAAGTCACCGATTCTCCCGACTATGACCGCCGGGCAGACAAGCCCTGGGCCAGGTTAACACCTGCAGACAAGGCAAGACTCCCAGGGGCTTTTGTGTCGACTGTATTGCTTTTCTGAAAGCTCCGCTACCCACTTACCCCCAACTTCATTATCCTAGGGGATTAGATCTTATAATCTTCCAACAATTTTCTACCTCTGATTATTTAAACTGCTTAAGGGATATATTTAGTAATAGCAACATAGTTCTTTCAACAGCGTCTTGGAGAAAACTAGTTCTTAGTTACCATGTAACCTGCCTGCATTCAAACCTGGATGGGGAGGGCTTTCCCACGGCCAGGACTTATCCTTACTGTTAGAAAATATAATTTATGCAACTTATTTTAAAGGGATATGTTAACAGTGGAAAAGGTTTGCTCTATATCAAAGCTGGCACACTTTTTATACAAATGGCCAGAAAGTAAATCTGTGGGCCAATCTTTGTTACTATTGCTTAGTTCTGCCATTGTAGCATAAAAGCAACTATAGACAACATGTAATTGATTGGATGTGTATGTGTTCCAATAAAACTTTATTTACAAAAACAGATGGTGGGCCAGATTTGGCTTGCAGGTCATGGCTTGCCAGCCCCTAAACTATATCACTGCACAAAGTTCAGAAAAAATGAAATATGTAGAGGGTTCTATCAATGTAGAAAACTCTTATGAGTATCATTGTTCCATAGCCAAATATTTATAGCAACCATTTGTTTTTAAGTTTTTTACTTTAGGATTTTCCTAATATCTTCAAAATGAGTTCTAATTTTTATCTCTGGTAAAAAATATGGTATTAAATAAACTCATGCCATACCCTAGTCTTAGTGCTAGAACTAGTTATTATATTTAATAATACTCTGTACTGAAACTTTTTCTTTTCATTTTTTTTCTTTTTTTTTTTAGACACAGGGTATCACTCTGTTGCTCAGGCTAGAGTGCAGTGGCATGATCACAGCTAAATGTAACCTCAAACTCTTGGGCTCAAATAATCCTCCTGCCTCAGCCTCCCAAGTAGCTGGGACTACAGGCCTGTGCCACCATGCCCAGCTAATTTTTTTATTTTTTTGTAGAGACAGGGTCTCGCTCTTGCTCAGGCTGGTCTCAAATTCCTGAGCTTGCGTGATCCTCCCACCTCAGCCTCCCAGAGTGCTAGGATTATAGGCATGAGCCACCACGCCCAGCCTCTATCCCATAGGTTTTGATATATTGTGTTTTCATTTTCATTTGTTTAAAGAAATTTTTAAATTTCCTTCTTAATCTCTTCGTTGGTCTGCTGGTCATTCAGGAACACATTGTTTAATTTCTATGTGTTTGTATTTTTTCCAGTGTTCCTTTTGTTATTGATTTTCAGTTTTATTCCATGTGATCAGAGAAAACACTTCATATGATTTCAATTTTTCTGAATTTTTTAAGACTTGTTTTGTGGCCCAACATATGGTCTATCCTTAAGAAATGATCCATGAGCTGAGAAGAATATGCATTCTGTAGCTATTAGATTAAATGTTCTATAAATTTCTATTAGATCCATTTGGTCTATAGTACAGATTAAGTCCAATGTTTCTTTATTGAATTTCTGTCTGGATGATATGTCCAGTGCTGAAAGTGGATGTTGAGGTCTCTAATGATTATTGTATTGCGGTCTCTTTCTCTCTTTAGACTTGATAATATTTGCTTTATCTGGGTACTCTGCTGTTGGCTGCATGTGTTTATATTTAGAACTGTTATTTTCTCTTGCTGAATTGACCCCTTTATCATTATATAATGACCTCTTTGTCTCTTTTTACAGTTTTTGTCTTGAAATCCATTTTATCTGATAGATATATATCAACTCCTGCTATTTTTCAGTTTCCACTTGCATAGAATAGCTTTTTCCATCCCTTTATTTTCAGCCTATGTGTGTCTTTATAGGAGAAATGGGCTTCTTGCAGACAAAATATATTTGGGTCTTATTTTTTTATCCATTCAGGCAATCTATGTCTTTTGATTGAAGAGTTTATTCCATTTACATTTGATGTTATTATTTATAGGTAAGGACTTCCTATTGCTATGTTGTTATCTGATTTCTGGTTGTTTTGTGATCCTTTTTCTTTCTTCCTTCCTTCCTGTCTTCCTTTGTATAAAAGTGACTTTCTCTGGTACTGTGTTTTAATTTCTTGCTCTTTATTTTTTTGTGTGTCTGTTGTAGGTTTTTGATTTGGGGTTACCAGGAACCTTGCAAAAAAACATTTTATAACCAATTATTTTAAATAGATGACAACTCAGTTTACAAAAAGCAAACAAACTGCCCTGCTTTTTGCCTTTTTGTTGTTTCCATTTATGTCTTTTTATACTCTCTCTTAAAAAGTTGTTGTAGTTATTATTTTTGATAGGTTTGTTTTTTAGTCTTCTTACTCAAGATGTAAATGGTTTGTGTACTGCAGTTATAGCAATAGAGTATTCTGTATCTGTGTACTTACTGTTAACAGTGAGTTGTATGCCTTCCATTGCATACCTTATTATTCATGCACATCCTTTTCTTTCAGATTGAAGAACTCCTTTTAGCATTTCTTATAGGAAAGGTCTGATGTTGACGAAAGCCCTCAGCCTTTGTTTGTCTGTGAAAGTTCTTATTTCTCCTTCATACTTGAAGGATATTTTTGCAGGATATAGTATTCTAGGGTTAAGGTTTTTTCCTTCAGCACTTTGGATATGTCATGCCACTCTATCCTGGCCTGTAAGGTTTCCACTGAGAAGTCTGTTGCCAGATGTTTTGGAGCTGCTTTATATGTTATTTTTGGTTTTTTTCTTGCTTCCCTTAGGACCTTTTTTTATCTGTGACCCTTGGGAGCTTGGTTATTATATGTCTTGAGGTAGTCTTGTTTGGGTTAAATCTGCTTGGTGTTCTATGACCTGCTTGTACCTAATATTGATATCTTTCTCTAGGTTTGGAAAATTGCTATTACTCTTTGAATAAACTTTGTACCCCAATCTTTCTATCTCCTCTTTAAGGCCAATAACTCTTAAATTTACCGTTTCGAGGCATTTTCTAGATCTTGTAGGTGTGCTTCATTCTTTTTTATTCTTTATTCTTCTTTTCCTCTTCTGACTGTGTATTTTGAAATAGCCTGTCTTCAAGCTTAGTAATTGTTTCTTCTGCTTGATAAATTCTGCTGTTGAGAGACTCTGATGTATTTTTCAATTTCTCAGCTCCAGAATTTCTGTAGTTTTAAAAAATTATTTCAATCTCTTTGTTGAATTTCTCTGACAGGCTTCTGAATTTCTTCTCTGTGTTGTCTTGAAGTTCATTGAGCTTCCTCAGGACAGCTATTTTGAATTCTTTGTCTGAAATATCACATATCTCCATCCCTCTGGGATTGGTCACTGGTACCATATTTAGTTTGTTTGGTAAGGTCACCTTTTCCTGGATGTTCTTGATGTTTGTGGATGTTCATTGATACCTGGGCATTGAAAAGTTCAGTATTTATTCTAGTCTTTGGGCTTATTAAAACCCATCCTTCTTGAGAAAGCTTTCCAGGTATTCCAAGGTAATCGAGTGTTGTGATCTAAGTCTTTGGTCAACAGACTCCTGGTGATACCACCTTGGTGGACTTGGGTCAGATAAGGGAGAATTCCCTTGATTACCAGGCAGTCTCTCACTCTTTTCCCTCACTCTCCATGCTGGGCTGCTGGATTTGGGGGAGGAGTGGTGTGGGCACTCCCTCATGGCCATCACAGCTAGGACTATGCCAGGTCACACCTGGAGCCAGCCCTGTCTCACTCAAAGCCTGTGGTGACTGCTGCCTGGCTACCTCTGATGTTTATTCAAAGCCCAAGAGCTCTTTAGTCAGCAGGTAGTGAATCCTGCCAGGACTGGGTCCTTTCCTTCAGGGCAGTGGGTTTCCTTCTCAGCCTCCCAAGTAGCTAGGACTCCAGGCTTGTGTCACCTCACGCAGCTGATTTTTTTCAATTTTTTGGTAGAGACAGGGTCTCACTGTGTTGCCCTGGCTGGTCTTAAACTCCTAGCCTCAAGTGATCCTCCTGTCTTGGCCTCCCAAAATGCTGGGATTACAGGTGTGAGCCACTGCACCCAGCCTAGAACTGGATTTTCATTTTGCGTGTCCAGTTTTTTTCTCAAGGAAGACTAAGAAGAATTTCTTTTCAACAGAAAAATATTATATAGTTTTTAAAGATAGAAAATAGAAAAATGCAACAATTTAAAATGCCATTTACGTATAGTATATTGTGTATACACAAGTGACACATGTTCATTGGTAAATATCTGAATATGCAAAAAAAAGAAAATAACAATTATAATGCATATCAATGCATAATATTTTTAAGAATTTCTATTTTCTTAGCCTCATTAAGATAGCACTTTGCATTTTAAAGTGTAGTAGCCAATCAGATGATAACCAATCAATGCCTATTCTATGAAAGGGCCTTGCTGAGTGGTGTGGGGAATCTCACAAATCTAGTAGTCTTGCTAAACTACCCATGTTGGGAAAGCGAAGTGGCGAGAGAAATGCCTTATTAATTGCGAACTTAATTGTGCTTATTTCACCTTTAAAATAAAGTCTTCAATTTTGGAATATATGTGCTTGGGTAGAGCACTAGAAACAGACATAAGTACGGTAAGCTAGAGAGGGCCTAGTTTCCTGCACTGAGGTAGATAAATAAGCTGACCCTCCGGTGACAGAGAGGAGGAGCCAGAGAAGGCCATTGAATTGGCCTGAAGACCTTGGCTCGCCTGGCAGTTACCTTCTCCCTGGGGTAGAGCTTGGAAGCTCCATGGTAGAGAGGAGGGCAGGCTTTGCAGCTGGGCACTTCTGGAATTGATTACTGACTTAACCACTTGGTAGTTGTTTGACCTTGGCCAAGTCATTTTAACCTGAGTTTCATCACTAGTAAAGTTGAGCTAATTATATCAATCTTGAGAATTGGGTAGTGTATCTGTAGAGTTCCAGCTCATCAATAAATGGTAGCTCTTACCAGTATTACACTCGTGATCAGGCTTGAGGATCCAAACTTCATTCCACATTGGTGATATTTTCACTATTTATTGAAGCCTCAGTTTACGACCTAGTCTAAAATTGTCCAGTGAATGACAATGCGTGTTTTTTCAGATGATACGTAGATTTGTCAAACAGATCACTCAGTAATCATTTATTTAAAAAAACCCTTACAATATATTAAGTGTTGTCCTAAATCCTGGGGATATAAAGATGAATAAAACGTACTATCTTGCCAGGAACACACTGTCTAAACAGGTCCTAGGAGAGATTGAGATTTTAATTCTCTATAGCTGTGGCCCCCAACCCCGAGGCCATGGACCAGTCCTGGTCCTTGGCCTGTTAGGAATGGGGCTGCACAGAAGGAGGTGAGTGGCGGGCGAGCGAGCAAGCGAAGCTTCATCTGTATTTTCAACCACTCCCCATCTCTCACATCACTGCCTCCTGTCATATCAGTGGCAGCATTAGAATTCTGCATTATGGTGAGTTGTATAATTATTTCGTTATACATTACAATGTAAAAATAATAAAGTACACAATAAATGTAATGCGCTTGAATCATCCCAAAACCATCCTACCCCCACTCCCCAGGCCATGGAAAAATTGTCTTCCATGAAACTGGTCCCTGTTGCCAAAAAGCTTGGGGACCACTGCTCTATAGTATGTTCTTTGGCCTGTTCATGGTTGCCCTGGCAACAGAAGGGAGTATACTTCCCTCCCCGTGGCAGTGAGCTTGATGAGTAATCAAGAAATCTTCTTCATGTTCCATAGCAGAATATTACCAAAGAAATAAACAAATAAAATCTCAGTTAATTCTGGACTCACAGCTCATGCTGTTTGAGAAGACAGCGGGGTCTGTATTTCCAACTGATCACCTGTTGCTTTTTGATGGAGACTGACTAAGCAGACCTTCTGTTACCACTCACCAGTAGCCAATTTTAAACTTAGTTTCAGTTATGTTTGTTTCCCTTTTCCTGTCTATAATTCTCATGATACCAAAAATATTACATATTCAGTCTTAGTGCTATCTCCTGGAGTTCTGTTGTTGTTTCTACCCTAGAAATACCTAGTTTTGGCTTGATGGGTTCCTGTTGGTAATCCAACCTGGGCTCCAATCCCACTGTCTCAGCCCACTTTCTGTTGCATATCTTCTGACAAAATCAGTCCCCTTTATAACATGTGAAGAGGTTATTAGGTCTAAACTCTGGTCTTCTTTGCAAAGAAGAGAGTTAAGATTATTGTACATGGATTCCACTAACATAAAGGGTCTTAATTACTTTTTTTCTCTTTTAAACCCTCTCAGGAAATCTTTCTATTTATTCCAAGAAGTAACTCTTGGAATAAAACTGTGGTCATTCTTCAGTGAATTTTTTAAATGAGTATTGCATTTCTTTAATTGCCCATAGTCACATCTTTCTGACTTATTTTTTCAAACAACTAGTCCCCATAATTTCACATCACTTTCATGGCCACATCATTCATGTCATTGACTCATCGTTTCTAATTACAAACCAGCACATGCAACATGAAGGTCTGAGGCAATGTTCTTGATGATGTAGGCTGTGGAGCTCATTTGACTGGAAGGAGTGTCGAACTTGAAGTAAGAAGGCCTAGGTATGAGCGTCATCTTTGTCACTCAGTGACCGTTTGAGAACTAGCAACTCATGGGGCCTCTCTAGGCCTTCATATTATCATTTGTAAGATAAAAGGCTTGAAATAGTATTCAGGTTATCAATTGCTTTGTAACAAACCACCCCAAAACTTAATGGCTTAAAACAACTATTTATTTTGCTCACAATCCTGTGAGTTAGGGATTTGGGAAGCGCTCAGCTCAGAGGTTTGCTTCTGATCCATGTGACATCAGGTGACGTGCTGGGGTTAGACAGTCCACTTCCAAGATGGCTTCTTCACTAACTGCTTGTGCCTTGTTCGTCTTTGACCTCTCTCCCTCTATCCACGTGGCATCTCATCCTCCAGAGCCTTTCCTTGTACCTTGGGTTCCTCGCAGTATGGTTTCCTGAGAGTAGTCACCTTCTTTTTACATGGCATCTGGCTATCAGGAAACAAGAATTAGCCTAAGTAGCATAGCGAGACCCTGTCTCTTAAAAAAAGAAAAAAAAAATCCAGGTGTGGTGCTAGCTACTTGGGAGGTTGAGGCGGGAAGATCACCTGAGCCCAGGAGTTCGAGGCTGCGGTGAGCTATGATCGCACCTGTGAATAACCACTGCACTTCAGCCTGGACAGCATCGCCAGACCCCATCTCTAACAATAAAATTAAAAAAAAAAAAAAAAAAAAGACGCAAGAAGCAATAGGTGCCAGACCAGTTAAGGCTACACTCCATACTGGGACAGTGTCACCTCTACTATGTTCTGTTGTCAAATCAGTTACAGGGCTCACCTAGAGTCAAGGCTGGAGAGATAGACTCCACCTCTTCCTGAGGGAGGGGCAAGGTCACATTGCAGATGAGCATGTGGGATGTGCCCACATATTTAACTGGCTCTCTGGGGAAAAATGTGTGCATGTGTGTATGGTCATTAGTGAATTGTAACTTTTATTAATACAAATGATGTATAGCAGACAATTTCTAATTGAACTGTTTTGTAAATTCCATATCTCAATTGATTCTCACAGAATGCTTTCATTGATTTTTTTTTTTTTTGCCAGACTCTTAGATCAGTAGCCAACCTAGTATTGTGAATAAGGACTTTGATTTATGTTTGAGTCTCTTTCAGTGACATTACCTTCTTTCATTCCAGTAGACTCTCCATAAATAAAAATGAAAGAGTTGTTAGTCACAGTCACAAGCTAAAATAATTTGTTTTTGAAAAGCCTCATAATATTGATGTTTTATGGATGGCTTTACAGTGTACAAAGCACTTTCAAATATGTTCTTGATTAATTCTCGCACTATTGCAAAGAATTCCTTCCCCATTTTCCAGATGGGAAAACTGAGCTTTTGGAGCAAAGTGACTTACTGAGGGTCACGCTGCTATGGAGGGAATAGTCAAGACTAGAATCCATGTCTTCTGACTTCAGGTGTCCTGCTTTTCACTGCCTTTGCTGAAACCTTACATTTGGAGAAGAAATTTAAAGTGGACATCGAGACAGGATCTCTGTCACTCTTCAAATTAAGATACCTCCTTTTAAGGAAGAATTTTTTATAGATGTTAGTTGGGGAGTGGTAGAGAGCACCTTCGCTATTTCACCTTCTGGTTCTAGGTATCCATTTTTACAGGGAACAAAACAAAGTGTCCTTCCTGTTGATCTGACTTGTGAGACAAGCTGGACAGCCCTGTCACAGGGCTCCCAGGCTCACAAACGTTTCTCTGCTTGCTTCATCTCTTCCAAAAGGCAGTAGCAAGAATTATTGCCACAGTTCCCAGTCACAGGTTCCCCACAGACGCTGCAGGGGTGAGGAAGATACTTGGGGAGAAGGGACAATCTGTGACAACAGGACTCGCACATCATTGAAAGGAGCATTGGAGGAAAAGCAGAGAGGTGGCTAGTGACGGGAGAGAGACGAAGAGAAGCCTCAGGGCTTCCTTTTGTTTTTTCCCTTTTGTAAAATTTATTATTTTCCAGCCACAGAGTAAATTTTCTTATCTCCCAGTGAAGTCACTCTCTGTGGTTTTATTGTCATTCTGTGTTTTGGCTGAAGAGTCCGTTTTGCCTCGAGGTTACAGGGGTGTTTTAATTGGCACATTTTGTTTTTACATGAGTAAAACATTCCTTGTAGAAAAATTAGGAAATAAAAATAAGCAAAAAAAATTGAAACTAAAAACCATCCAGGATTCTGCTGCTATTTGGTAACAGGTAACTAAAGTTAATATTTTGACGAATATCTCGGCTTTTCAGTCTGAATGGCGTAAGCACCTTTTCGAACACCGAACGTTGTGTGGCGTGGGTTGTGTGTTCTTTAAGTAGTAATGCATTCTATTTGATATTTTCTTTGAGTAGCTATAAGTGCTATCTTGAAATTTCAAGTTGTTTGTCTAAACTTTTCTTTTTTTTTTTTGAGACAGAATCTCACTCTGTCACCCTGGGTAGAGTGCAGTGGCATCAGCCTAGCTCACAGCAACCTCAAACTCCTGGGCTCAAGCAATGCTCCTGCCTCAGCCTCCCAAGAAGCTGGGACTACAGGCATGCGCCACCATGCCTGGCTAATTTTTTATATATATATTTTTAGTTTTCCAGCTAATTTCTTTCTATTTTTAGTAGAGACGGGGTGTCGCTCTTGCTCAGGCTGGTCTCGAACTCCTGAGCTCAAACAATCCACCCGCCTCGGCCTCCCAGAGTGCTAGAATTACAGGCGTGAGCCACCACGCCCGGCCTAAATTTTGATATTAAAGAATATATAGCAAATATCTTAAGCCATGTCGTCATGGGCAGTATGCAGTGCAGAACTTTCTTAAGAGAATGATACTGTTTCTCAGAAAATCTCATGACCTGCACTTTCCTTAGGGTCATCAAGGGTAGGGGATGTTCTGTGTGACTCATAGACCAAGCTTAAGGATGAGTTTAGCAAAGGCCTCCCTTGTCTAGGACACTTGAAGGAAGTCTATCCTGGTTTTAGTTTGGATATTGTATGATATATTTATTGCATCTTTACCTAGTAGAAATTAGGAATCCCTTTCTCTCTCTAAGACATTTCTTAAAAGAATGCCTTCTTCATCGCTACTGTCTATACCAGGGAAATATGTGACCAAAATAACAATTCTATTTAACTATTTTTTCCTGTTTAGGCAGCCATAAGGAAAGAACTAAATGAATTTAAAAGCACAGAAATGGAAGTTCATGAAGAGAGTCGACAGTTTACAAGGTAGGTAGACAAAATAAAGTTTAGCACATTAAAAAGGCTTAAGATGTTAAATTTTATGTTAGTTGTATTTTATCACAATTTGAAAAATTGCTTTAATACAGTTTAGCATAAAACCATCCTATTAACATTTCTGCTTCTCCCACAACTCATCCTTGCTTCCTTTTACTGATAACCTCACAGTCAATATGGCAGTTTTAAAGATATGACTAGATAAGATTATAAATTTCTAGAATTTCACAATAAACTCAGCTATCTCTTTTTAAGAACACTAAGGCTAATCATGCCGAATAAGAATTTCTAAAGTTATTTTTTTTTTCTTTCAAAGAAGCCTGAATCATTCCAAAGGGCTACATTTTGGTTCCTTTCTTAGTTTTATGTTCTGAGCCAGAAGACAAGCATCAACATCATTTATTCTGTTCTTGAACAGACTCAGTTGGAGTAGTATGCCCAGAATAGATGCTGGCGAGAGTCAGTGTGGGCATGTGCAGTAGACATAACTAGTGGGATGGAAGCTGACTTTTCACAAGATATTACTTAGAATGGGAATCCAGGTTTTACTGTGCCACAGAAGGTTGCTGTCATCCCTCTTCCCTCCCAGCACTCTTCAGTTTCTCTCCCAGGCTACTAAAATCCAAAGGGACGGGAGGGCTCCTGTAGTCTGACCCCCACAGGTGTCCTTTGTATTTCTATCTAATGGGTGTATGTGCTTTGCTCTATATAACAGATGTGTTTCTAAAATTTGCACACCAATCAAATCTTTAATAATTGAACTGATTTTAAGAAAATACCAGGACAGATGATAACATGAAGCAGATCACAGTAGGTCTTTCTGGAAAACAAATACTGATCCCCTGGGCTAGAAACAGCCTCGTAGGGCAGCCATACATCCTGGTGCTACTGTTCCGGCACTGGTTCCTGGTGGTGGTGGTGCTCTGTGCTGGGGAACATGTCACGGGACAAAGGAAATAGCAGTATATAACCTCATAATTTAATAGCAAACCACTTCCCTAAAATTCCTGGGGAGCTTTGCTCTATAGCTGTTCCTTGTATGTCAATATCCGGGATGCAGAATAAACTCCTCTCTCTTTTAGGGGCATACTTGGCCCTCCATATGCACAGAATCAACCAATCATGATCCAAAATATTTTCAAAAATAAATAAAAAATAACACAACAATAAAAATAATATAAATTTGAAAATATAGTACAACAGCTATTTACATAGCATTTACATTGTATTAGGTATTATAAGTAGTCTAGAGATGATTTAAAGTATACAGGAAGATGTGTGTAGGTTATATGCAAATACTACGCCATTTTTGTATCAGGGATTTGAGCATCCATGGATTTCGGTATCTGCAGGGATTCTAGAACTAATCCCCAGTGGATACCAAGGAATGACTGTATTTCTTCTTTATTTGCTTCTCTCATGTTTGATTGTATATGAATATAGGGCTTTGCAACATCCTGAATGTATAGGATTTTGGTCTATTTGGGGGCTTTATTCCATTGTGATCTACTATTGAGCCAACAATATCCCCATATCAAGCCAGACTTGTTTGTCCTCCTCTTTTTTCCCCTCCACTTCTGGGTCAGGAAAAGTTCATGCTAAAATGTGACACCTGTAGTTGCCTTTTACCAGTAAAGTTGATCATAAAAAGGTGGCTGGATGCTTTTGGTGACATGGAGCTGGCTGGGGCGGCTGGGCAATTGGGAAAATGGCACAGGAAATTCTCTTTTGATATACACATGGGTCAGTTTCTAGATTCTTCAATATGTTCTCATGAACTATTTTTCTGTCCCTGCCTGTGTCATGCTGTTTAATTAGGACAGATTGATAGTATGTTTTTATATGTGATGGGGTGTTGTTTTTACCCTCAAAATCCTATTGGCTATTTTTCTATATTTACTCATCTAGAGAAATTTTGAACATGCTTCTTGTGTTTCATAGTCTATTGATAGCTTCATTTTTAAGTAAATATTAATAGATGCAAACAGAGAAGCTTTTGAGGGGGTAACAGCTAATATCAAAAATTTTCTAAAAAGTGTATTGATTAACACTCTTTAAAATGTCTTTCCAGATAAGGAAAAATTAAATATTCATATCACTAAAACAAATATGCCTTCCTTAAGTATTCTTTAAAACTTGGCAGTAAAGCAAATGTCTGCTGCTCTATTTCCATTAATTTATATGACATCATTAGAGTTGCATTCCAGTAGGGAAATATTTTGGCTCTGCGACATAAAAATCTTGCTTATGACTTTAAGTTGTTTTCAGTATTTCTTTTAAGAAGAAAAAGTTTTGGTAAACACTCCTGTTTCTAATCCAAATAATACAAAAATATGGTACTGTTTTACATTTAGAAAATTGCTCATGTAAAAGATAGTGGTACTATTAGCACCAGCGTCTCTTGAGGGAGGAATAATAAACACTCTATGAATCACTGCCTCGCCCTTTCAATGTGACTTAGATATACAGCAGCTCTCTGTTCTTCTCATTAGCATCAGACATTTATACCACGTAAGCCTTCACTTCAAAACCTAAATCTCGTAACTCCCTGAGATTTGGGGTCCTTAATAAATGGGTTGAGACAGCCCTGCCTCCTCTGCTCCAGCACCCTTTATCCAGAAACAGCCTCCCACACAGCCATGTATCAGTGAACACTGGAAGGACCCCCTCCCATCTACAGCTTCCTTTGCTTCTGTGTCTCTGGGGGAATATGCAAGCTGATGGCCAAGGGCAGGCATGGGAGGGAGACTTCTCATTGCCCGCCCTTTGAACCTTTTGAGCTTTGAAACATACGAATATATTATCTTCAGGATCTGGAAGAATTTGGAAAAACAACAAAAAAGAAGGTATTACCTAATCAAAAACAAACATTGAAAAGAAAAATTAAAGAATTCACTCCCTAAGTCCTCATTCTGTAAATTAGGATCCTACAGGGTGGCTTTTCTTGAATAATAGTTTGGCGTTAATACTGATCGTGACTCTCCCACTTTTTACGCAAGAGAAGACACCTGAGCCCTCCATCCTGGGATATATTCTGTGACATGTTTGATTTGTAGTGATGAAGGATTGTGATGATCCACTCTTTCATCTCATTCCCCTAGCCACTTTCCCCCAGTATTCTCCAGATAGCTTTCCAGAGTTGGAATGTACTTTAAGGCCTTGCAGTGAGGGTGGGGGAAGTGATCCCCACAAGAATCCATCATGCGGCCTGATGCGTACCAAGTATATGTTACCTTGTGTCCTTAGAGCACTTGCTGCTTATTTGGCCACATCCTGTGTTTTCTGCCCCCAGGAGCTGCCCACTCAGCCCACTGTTCAAAACCCAAAAGTCCATTGGAAGGGCAATATATTATTAGATAGGGTCACTGTGTTCTTGACCACCATGGCAAACAAAAACCACTTCCTTTCCATAATAAATGGGATTTCTACAAGATAAAGTAATTCTCTAAATTATAAAGACCAATTGCATGAAAAATCAAATTTTACTTAAACCCTAAATTTTAGAATGATCACTGGTGAGTATGAATCATTTTAATCTTCTGGATATTTTCCAAATTTAAGTGTTAACATATCAGATTTATAATCAAGAGAGAATATCACTTTCTAAAAATAAACTTTTAACTTTGTAAATAATATTTTTCAAATGTACAAAAGTGTTCTCATTTTTTTCATTAGCTTATAAATTATTTGTTTATTATATTAAGGGATACTGTCAAAGACTCATAGAATCATTGAATTGAAGCTCTTAGAGTCAAAATGGGCCTCAAGAGATCACTGGCGGCCAGGCGCAGTGGCTCACGCCTGTAATCCTAGCACTCTGGGAGACCGAGGTGGGTGGATCGCGTGAGCTCAGGAGTTTGAGACCAGCCTGAGCAAGAGCGAGACCCCGTCTCTACTAAAAATAGAAACAAATTAGCTGGACAATTAAAATATATATATAGAAAAAAAATTAGCTGGTCATGGTGGCGCGTGCCTGTAGTCCCAGCTACTCGGGAGGCTGAGACAGGAAGATCGCTTGAGCCCAGGAGTTTGAGGTTGCTGTGAGCTAGGATGATGCCACGGCACTCTAGCCCGGGCAACACAGTGAGACTCTGTCTCAAAAAAAAAAAAAAAAAGATCATTGACACAATGTCTAATAGGCAAATCAGGATATTGACTAAATGTATATATGGCAAGGATATATTTTATTTAAAATTCAGATGCATAGCAATAAAGATTAGGAAATATAGTGGAGTTATAGATTTTTTTCTTTAATTTTCAAATTTTTTAAATGTTATGTTGAGATTGAAATGTGTATACATATATACATACAGTTGACCCTTCGACACCTTGGGGTTTAGGGACACTGACCCACTCTTGCAGTGGAAAATCTACATGTAAGTTTTGGTTCCCCCAAAACTTAACTACTAACAGCCTCCTTTTTACCAGAAGCCTTACTGATAACATAAACAGTTCATTAACACGTTTTGTTTGTTATATGTATTATATACTATATTTTTACAATAAAGTAAGCTAGAGAAAATATAATTAAGGAAATCACAAGGAAGAGAAAATATGTTTATTGTTTATTAAGTAGAAGTGGATCATCATAAAGTTCTTCATCCTCACCTTCATCACTTTGAGTAGTAGGAGTAGGTCTTGCTGTCTCAGGGGCGGCAGAGGCAGAAGAAACTTCTGTGTAAGTGGACCCATGCAGTTCAAACCCAAGTTATTCAAGGGTCAACTGTATCTAGATACGTATTTTTTTAAGCAATGATCTCATTCTATACCTTCTAGAGGTATTACTATCCTATGTGGATTTACAGATAAAATAAACCCACTCTTTCAGCTTCTAAATATGCTTACCAAAATGTGACATGGCAGGACCTATATTTGGGACTGCAACAAAAATTAATTAAGGGGTCCTCCACAGGGGAATGGCAGAGTTGCTTCTGTAGTAGTACTGTCTTTCATGGATGCTCCATTTGCTTGCTACCTGGACAAAAACTAAAAAGAGTTGCAAAATGCAGCTTTAACTACCAGAGTGGAAAGCATGGCTCAGTATTAGGAATACTAAGAGGCCGGCCAGCATGTGGTCTGGCCTCTCAGGCAGAACAAGGAGCTATAATTTAAGAGAGGCTCTTCATTTGTTTAACATAAGTATATGTGGTGTGACAGTGAAACTTTTTTAAAGAAAGGGAGAATGAATTATTTTGGATTTTTCTATATCAAATAGGGAAGTACAAGAAAATAATATTTTACTTTTGTGAGTAATTATATGTTTTATATTATCTGAATGAATTTACAGGAAAATGAGTAAATTCTTAAAAATTAAATTATGGAGGAATTATCTTTGTGGAAATAATTATCCTTAGCTGAATTCCATGACTTAAAAATAGCATTCCCCTATTCACTCTGTCTCAACCATATGAAAATAAGAAAAATGTTATTACAGTTTTTAAAAGAAGAAGAAAATACAGATAACTTCAAATTTGAGTCTCAGGAAAGTTCTGAAAAGAGGGTGGCCAAGAACCTTAAGTATCCTCAGGGCACAGTGAATCTATTTATTGCTCCACCAACTGGAAGCCTAAAGCCAAAACTGTCATTCTGTCAGGTAGGCAAACTTCGCAGGAGGTAGAGCTGAATTTCTCACATTTTAAAACATATGCAAACCAATGAGCAATAACAAACTATGCAATAATTTGTATTTTTAGTACCTCTAATCATAAAATTTTAGAGCTGAATTTGAAGATAAGGTACCTAATTTAAATAGGATATAAACGTCCTTTTCTGGTTGGATAGAGCAGGAAAATGTATGGATGGGGTTTTTTTGTTGTTTTCTTGGGGTTTTTGTTGTTGTTTTTGTTTTTTACCAAATCTGGACATTCTATATAAAGAGAAGTTACAGTTCTGACCCCAGGCTCTGTCAGCATATTATCACATACACAGTATCGGTTGGTCACTTTCTTCTCTTAGCCAGCCCTTAAAGCTACCCTGGTAGCCCGTGACCTTCCGACGCAATCTAGACTGTGGAACTTGTTGTCTACCGGGATCCATGGGCAAGTGGTATGTGTAGGGAAAAAAAATCTTACAGTGTCCTTCGTTGGTTTTGAAAATTAAAAACAAGATACTTTCCAGGAAAATGCTGGGCTTCTCTCTTCTGGTTTACTGACTACTCACATTGTTGTCCAACCCCAGGCCTCATTTACCTTCTTCAGCCCACAGACGTTACTAACAGGGAGAGAAGATGTCAGGTTTCTCCACACCTGTCCTTTGAATTCAGGATCCAATGAACATCCGTAGATTAGGACACTGTAGAATGTTTAGTGTGCAATGCCCAGCAAATTTGGAGAGGGCAAAATAACTGCTAAATGAGGTGAGTTTTTGTTTAATTCCTAGAAAAGCTGAACCTCAGGGTGAGAGACCTTTGATAGCTCCTGGTGTGAGGATCCAGGAGGTGCAGTGTACTTGTCTCGTGTTGTCAGAGCTCCCCAGGCTCCTGCTCTCTCCGCGTGGCGTGCACAGTGCTGGCGGGGCCTGCTTGGCAGGGGGTCTCCCTGGATGTATTTTCCTAGTCATTGTCAAAAGTTCGAGAATAGATAGTAGCTATCAAAGTGTAGCCTGGGAAGGTGGAACGGGATTTTTCTCTGGTCAAAACGGATCAAAACTTGAATGGATAAAGAAAATGTGGTATATATACACAATGGAATACTATTCAGTCATAAAAAGGAGATCCTGTCATTCACAGCAACGTGGATGAGCCTGGAGGACATGACGTTAAGTGACATAAATCAGGCACAAAAAGATAAATACTGCATGTTCTTACTCACATGTGGAGGCTAAAGAAATGGATCTCATAGAAGTAGAGAGCAGGATAGTGTTTACTAGAGGCCAGGCAGGGGGAGGTCTGAGGCCAAAGGCCTGAGAACCTGAGGGTGGAGGTGGGGGGGTGCTGGTATAAATTCTGGAGTCCAAAGGCCAGGAACCCCAGGGTGGTTGTCCAGGGACAGGAGAGGAAGAGTGTACCCAGCTCTAGCAGATAGAGCGACATATTCACCTTTTTTCTGTTTTTGTTCTCTCTGGGCCCCGAGCAGAATGGATGGTGGCCGCCCACATTAAAGACAGATCTTCCTCACCTAGTTCCCGCAGACTCGCATGCTAATCTCCTCTGAAACACCCTCCCAGACACACCCAAAAATAACACTTTACAGGTTTTCTAGGTATTCCTTAATCCAGTCATATTGACACCTAAAATTAACCATCCTGGGGGTCTCTTGAAGAACTGAAACTTGTTCTTTGATTCAAATGACAAGAGGGAGCTCTGAGTACACTTTTGGGGGAGGAGAAAAACATTCCACCACCAAGAGAGGTGGGCTAATGTAGAAGGGAGAGCTAGTGGCCTTCCTAGCTTGGGGCCTGCGGTGGGAAAGAATTTTGCATGATCAGGAGGCAGAGAGAAGGCCCCCATGACTGGAAGGGGTAACATTGCCTCTGTTCAACAAACACAGGCATAGAGGTCCACACTCTGCCCAAGGTTATGGTCAGGGGTAGATGAAGAGCTGAACTCAAAGTGGACACATTCCTTCTTTAGTCACCAATTCTTGGCCAGTTTTGGAAAGCCTGGAATATCTTATTTTTATTTTGACGTCTGGAAATTCAAACATACAAAAGTAATATAAGTCCTATGTATCCATCCAGCAGCTTCTCCAGTTAGCAATTTATGGCCAATCTTGTTTTATCTGTTCTTATGTCTTTAATTTTTCATTTTGTAATGCATAGATTCAACACAGCAACATTTATTCAGTACTGCCACATATGAGATACTTCATTCTATGAATATGTAGAAGTGGATAAGAACAATCCTTCCTTCAGCTTCTCACGATCTAATAGCAGAGGCACACCTATACAAAGATTATATAATGTGAGCAATAACTGGTATAAAGCAAAGGTTACAGGAACGCAGAAGTGAGAGCAATGAATGCTTCCCTAAAAAGTGAAGAAAGGGGAGTCCGGGGGACTCCCAGAATGAGATTGCACAGAGTGGAGATGGGAAGGGAGGTAAGGGTAGAGGAGAGAGCGTGAACACAAAAGCATTTAGGGGGCAAGTGATTGGAACTTAGAGTATTTCAGGGATAGTGATAGAAATATACCTAGAAACGTGGGTTGGGCCACATTCTGAAAGGCCTCGGTTCCCACTGTAGGAAATTTATATTTTATTTTGTAGAAAGTGGAGAACAATGCAGTGCTTTTAAGGAAGAACTGGAATGATGGGGTTAGTATAATATTTTATAAGAATGATGTTCAAGCATAGATTTGATGGAGAGAGCCTGAGACAGAAGCCAGTTAGCAGACTGGTTGACGAGGGTAGATGAGCATTTAATTATTGAAGATGATGAAACCCTAAGTAGAGCTGCATATGTGTGGAGTCACGGAAGTAGCCTGAAGATCTGGATCAGATAAGGTTTTATGGAGAAGCTGGCTTTTGACCTCGATCTTGAAGATGAAAACATAAATAGGAAATGAAGGGAGGGAATTACAGTGTGGAGGAACAGCATGTTCAAAAGCACCAGGCTACAAAAATGCAAGAAATGTTCAGGAAATGGCGTGTAGGGAAATGAAGCCGGCTAGCTGGCTAGCAAGCTGACTGTGAAAGTAGTGCCAGCAAAAGATGGCGAGGACTTTAATGACTCAAAGACAGGCAGTGAAGGCAGGACTTGGTGACTTAATAGGACATGGAAGGTGAAGGAGATAAATGAATTGCAAATCTGAGGTTTCTAGACTAAAAATATTTTAAAAGGTAGAACATCAAACAAAATGGAAAGTGCAAAGGCAAGTTATCAAGAAAAACTTTGTGTAGTTGTGGGCATGCTTAGTATGTTACCATGGAACATCGGGGTGCAAATGCCCAGCAGGCGTTCAGAAATCAGATGCAGAAAGTAGATTTGGGGTCATCAGCCTGAGATGATGAGAGGCTGAAGCTAATGAAATAGTGACTATTTGTTGTTTTCCCTTTATAACTCTAGACCAGGTGTAACCTAAATCCCTTTGTGAAACATCTTGCTCTGCTTAACAAGAGTTAGAATGTGACCCTCAAGAATAGTGATGTTTTGTGTTTTGATTGCCCTATAACCTGAATAATATAACCAGCGTCTTTTATAATATATAAGGGTTGTCTCTGCTTTCCAACATAGCATTTATAACAGTATTCCATTACGACAGCAATTTATAAGCAGCGATTCAGTTGCGGGACATCTAGAGCTGCCTTAATTGTAAACATTGCCGTGCTGTGTTCAGCTCACTGAATGCAGAGTGTGCGCCTCATGCCGCAGACTCACAAAGTTTCCGTTTCCTACTCCAGGTTTCATCGTCCATAATGAAGTATGAGACTATTTGGAAACATAGACTGATCATCTTTGGGGGAAGCCCTGCTTCCAGAAAACCTGATATTGCACTGGGATTTGAATGTGTGTGTTTCCCTTTAACTTGTGATGAGGGAAGTGTGTGACTCGGCTTTGTTGGAAACGCCCCTCACCTGTGCAGCCCACATGGGGCCAAGAAGCAAGGGGAGGAGGCAGTGATCCTGGCTGCCCAGAATGTGCATCGACGGTAAGGGACACCGTGGTTACATCAGTTATTCCTCGTCAGGAGTTTTAATCAAAGAAGATGAGCAGAAGACAATCGCTGGCTCCCTATTACCAGAAAGCCAAATTTTGTAGTGCGGGTTCAAGAAAAAGATTGGAATTGCTGGGCACGGGAAAGGGGTGGGAGTTAAAAACCAGAAAGAAAGAGGACTATTTCATTATGTTAATGAAGAAAAGAGAAAATTGACGCATAAATGTATTTTTGAAGTAGACATTTGGTAGCTGAGAGCTTATTAAGGGACTTAGGAATCTAATTATCAACGTGGATTCTTTAAAGACTTGATCCTAGAAGAATATTCTTGTTTCACCACTTTGTCGGTACAGTGCAGTACCATTGCTTTATGTTGTGCCAGTGAATCCAATTGCCAGAAATGTCTGAATGTTTTCATGCATCTTTTTCTTAAATGCAAGAGGCTTCTATTGACTCTTAACAAGCATGCTTACCCAAATTTTGTTGCATGCTTTAAATAGCATAGCTATACACACTTGACCTTTTTTTATACTCCTTTCCTAGTGCACCAACCTTCCACAAGGATAACAGGACTGGTAATAAAGTCAGATGTAATGTGACCCTATAAAACTGTAGCAAGCTTCAGAAGTAAATCTTTTGATCTTTTCCTATCTTGATTATCTCCAATATCAATGCACCCATACTTGATCTAAAGAAGATAGAATTGACAATCATGACACCTTTTTAAAAAACCTGAATCCGAAGTTAAAACTTAAGCAACATTCAGGTGTGCTGCCTGCAGTTAGTTCTGAGTGGGAATGCAGAAGACCAGTTATTTTTCAGTGCTGCATTAAAAAAAGTTGGGTTGCTGCTATTAAAAAAATACTCAAAGGCTTAAGAGAACACAGAAAGTTTCTGCTAAGTTGTGTGTGAGGAAAACCTCATCTTGGAATTTAGAAATCTACAGGTAGCATACATAAATATAGTATTTACTTTCAATGCAAAACAGTGAGATTAAAGTCATGGAAGGTTTCCCTATGAGCCTACAGTCAGTATTGTTTACATGAAGAAACCCTCTATTGATGTATTGCTGTTTTCCATGGAGTCATAGGCACAGTATGACTTCTCCCAAATACGTATGACCATGTGTAAATACTACCTTGCCTTTAATTGTTCTTTCACAATTGTTTTGTGCCCCTTTTACTAAAAACACATAAAATATATAGCAAGACAAGACCTAAATAGAGTTTATTTTATTCTCAGAGCTTGGACTAGAATTATCTGAAATATCTCTGGTTCATAATATGGAAGACTATAATTTTTTATTTCAACCCAAAAGTAAGCATTTAATATGGTGGATATATTTAGATCTCCCATTCGTTGGTGTTTTGAAGAACCACTTGAACCTGGAAGATTTTGTTTAAAAAATTGTATCTGGCATAGATGTTCATGGATTAAAAAAGAAAAAAAAAATTTTAGTCCCAGTTGGCCTATTACAAAAAGTCAGAACCATTTTATAACTGAAAAAAGTAATCAGCATTATTGCACCTCTTGTTGTACTCACCTGTGTGCATAATAAAATAAACCTGGAGTTTGCACTGTTGTCATTTCACTAATAGGATAAGACATACTTTTGATTTGCAAAAATTTTTCTGCGTGGCCAAGTGTCTGTCTCTGCCTGAGGTTTTGTCTATCTTACAGTGTTTCAATCCAGCCATAAAAATGAACTTGTTCGAATTTTTTTTCCAAAGTCATCCTTTTCTTATGATATTTTATTTTATTATCATTTCAATGTCTTAGGAAAAATACCAAAAAATATAATGTGTCTTTTAATTTTCTATGTTTATGATCTTTGAATATTTTTTAAATGTTTTAATCACATGCCCTCTCTATAATGGTAAATATAAGACATTATCACCATTTTATCACTCAAGAAACATGTTATAGAAAATTTCTATCTGGTTGATAAAAGAAACAATTTTTTTCCCACTAGAACTAGACAGATGTAAAAACCACTAGTGCATATGATGCAATTTTTTATTCCCTATAATGAGATACACCTAGTGCAAAAAATGAAAATCTGGTACTTCAATATATTGTTTTTTTGTATGTCAGGTTTGTGAACTACCCACACCTTTTCTTAATACTCATTGATACATTTAGAGAAAATTTTGTAAGTTAGAGATAAGTTTAACAGTAAAAAAAAATAACCACTGTTAGGCTACTATTTAAGTAATTGGAACCACCAATTATTTCATTAGAATGATTCATTAAATAAAAACTATGGAAAGAATTAAAGGATTATGAGCTAAGCTGTATTTTAATGGTTCATTTTAAAAGACAGAGGCACTGCACATCTTCACCGGCAGCCCAGCCAGTCTCTTGCCTGGCAGCTCTAAGAGGTCATAGAGGTTGGACCACCCTCCATATAATCACGCCTCTGCCTACCACCAATATTTCAACAATTTAGCCAATAAGCGTACATTCTATAAGGAAAATAAATACATGTGGGAAACAGATTTCTTTTGTGGTTGTAATAATGCAGTTCCAGGTTTTTCGCTATTTACACTACGGCCTTAGCCTGACATAAAGGAAGTGAGTGGGTTTTCCTGAGTGCCCAAGATATGATTAAGGAAGAAAACAAACCCACCTCCAGGAAGGTCCCAGGCAAGAAAGAACTAGAAAGACTGTAAAAACCAAAGTGATCCTCCAATCCAAAGGGACAGATTAAAAAACAAAACAAAACAAAAAAGCCAAAAAAAAAAAAAAGGAAGTGACCATTTCCATCTTTTTTAAATGGAGGGGAAAAGCATTAATATTAAGGTAGTAGGAAGATGGGCAATGGGCTTCGTCAGCGTCTTCATGGTCATTACCAGTCAGTCTGACAAAATTAGTTCTCTGGTGGCCAGTGTTAATTTAAGGCAGCTTGCCTGATAATTTCCTGTGTATATGAAGTGTCTTGCATTTTTTTAAGTTCGCTATAATTCCTTCAGTTATTTCACTGAAATCTATAATATTCAGCAAACCATTTTGGGTATTTGAACAGCTATTTTAAATGGAGGAAAAAGCAAACACATCTGTCTCTCTGATTTAACCCAGAAAAACAGACTTTCTGGTTTCATCTTCATATCCTTTAGTAGCATAATGAGTCTACTCACTTATCTTTCTCTGATGTTAGTAAATATATGCTGTTAGTAGGAAGTTCTGAAATTTAAGTGAAAATGTATTTAATGAAACAGAAGAATTGAATACATCCTTCAAAAATCACCAAATACTGAAAATGAGAGATGAGTCCTTAAAACCCAGGTCAAAAAAGAGTCAGATTTTATACCCTGCAATTAATTCAGTGCTGGATTGGCATCTATATATGTAGTAGTTTAAAAGAGAAAAAAATCTGCATTAACACTGTATGTCCTGATATAGACAATGTTGACACATAAAGCATCTTATTTATACTTTATAGAGTCAGATACAACTTTGAAAAATTATACTGTAGTCACAACTGAAAAAGGCGGTCTTATGTACCACGAGTTGTATGTCCACATTCAGACACTGAGAACTTAACTTTCTTCCTTTCTTATCCAAAAATTTCTCCAGTCTGTTATTATTTTTATTTTTTTCTTACCAAGTTGTGATTTGATGTTATTATGTTTAAGTGGCCCCTAGTAGCAAATTTTACACAGAGCAAGAAATTTTCCTCAGAGGAGGTGGATAGAATTAAAATAGTACCAGATATATGAATTTATGTCATTTTCCTCCGTGTGGTAGAACTGTTTAAGCATTCCTAAATTCCAATTATGTTAAGCCTATCCTTACCAGTAAAAGTATATATACTTTGAGATAAGAATTAATTTCTTCACATCATTAGTATGCGTGAGTAGTAAGGAGCCACTGAGATTCAATTTATTTACAAAATTGTCCCTTGGTCTCTTGAAATGGCTAATCTTTTACTATTGAGTATTTGCTCCCTACTCACTGGTGGGATATACTACATTGTTTTACTTGACAAAGCAGAATGAACTTCTGTCCTTAGAGGGAAAAGCAACAGCAGAATTCATCATCAAATTAATAAGAACATCTAGAATTCTGAGAGGAAGGAAGCACATCTCCAAATAGTTCCAGCCCTGGTTTCAAAGAGGAGCATTAGGCTCTACCATAAAGACAGTCAGTGACCAAAGGGTGGTGGGGACAAAGGTAGAATATCCCTAAATCATTCTCATTTTCACTGTCCATTTACTTTTTGTAATCATTAAGCTTAAACTCTGTATGGAAATTCAAAGCACCATTAGCATTTCTGGGAAGTGGCTTTTTTGGAGACAAGGTTTTCCCAAATTAAGAAATCCCATTGTATACATTGTAAGATTTCTGGCAAAGAAATGGAGAATCCTGTGGCAGCTATTCCCACCTAAAGCCAACCCTGTAAAGGTCACTTTTAGTTATGCTAGAATTTACTGCACAAAAAAATGTCAGCTGTCGAATTGCTAGCACAGCTGCACATGTGAGCAAAGCACTGTTGGTCGTTGTTTCTCAGTGGGGGTGCCCATGGCATTCGGAGCTGGTCAATTCATTGCTGTACAGAAATGTTCCATGCATTGCCAGATGTTTAATATCCTAGGCCCCTGCTGATGAAGTGCCAGGAGCATTCCCAGTCATTGTAAATTTCAAAAGTAAAAAGCCTTCCCTCATGTTCAAATGCCCTTCCTAGGAGAGTGGTACCACCTCTCCTGAATACCACTGTCTACTGCAATTGGAGGACACAGAAGAGAAAGTGCCTATCCCCAAACACTGTCTCCGCTGCCTTGCATTTCTTTGGGCCCTGAGTAGTTTTCCCTCTTCATTTTTCAAGCCTCTGCTTCACCGTAACTTTAATTCGCTGGTTCTTCGGGGAGGAGGTTACCAGGCAGCCCTGGCAGTTCGGTGGGCATAGTGACTCGGCCTGGTCCCTGTAGATACTTACAGAAGAGATTTTGTATGAAGCAAGCTTTTTTTTTTTCTGCCTCACAATTTTACTTTAGAACTACATTATTGGTCGTAATCCTTGTCAATGTCATGAGGATTGTTGCATGGATTAAACGCAAACACAACAACCAACAATCCACATACACAAAGCTGGTGGTCTTTGGACATACCTCACCATTAGATTTCACTTGAGAATCCTGCATCCCATGAGTTCCAAATGGATCGCCTGCTGATCCTATTAACGAAGCATTTAATCCACATGCAGATGCTTGAATTCCCCCTGCATAAATGTAGTCATGCAGTTTAACTCCTCTAATAAGATTTGTGAATCCTGCACTATGACGGAAATGTGGATTAACTGTGGATTGCATGCATAGTGTGCATACTTCAGTGATGGTCACACAAAGCAAGATGAGTTTTACCTACGTGAAACATCATTAAACCATACGAACAATACAGAAACATTCTCGTTTTTTAATCCCCCAAACTGAATGGTAAATATGCCTTGAAATTATTTGGATGAATTATGGCTAGTAGAATGGAATTAATTTAGCCACTATCATT